GCAATGCCTTGTGCAAGAATGGGGGTGGGGGGTTAGGGGGTGGGCAGAGGAAAGATCCCCAGGCACGGAGGAAGAAGGAAGAGGGAGGGGAAAGCAGAGGCCTGCCAGGGACGTGCAGGTTCTGCCAGGCCCCCCAGGGCAGGAAGCCAACTCCATTCAGGTCTCCCATTTTGGGATAATGAGATCCAAAAAGTGACTGAGACTTTGCCCAAGCAGCTACCTCTGTGGCATGGCTACCTCCTAGTGGGAAGGGGGCCCTCCAGAGAACAACTGGTGGAGCCTCTGGGGAGTTCTTCCCAAGGCCAGACCCTGAGCTGGGTGACCTGACTGGTTCTCGGCTCCCCTCACTCCGTGCTGCTCTCTCCCACTGACGTCACCCCCTCCCCAGAGCAATTCTGGTCTCTGCTCCCCTCCAGGGCGGATCGTCAACATGAGCAGCATGCTGGGCCGGATGGCCAGGCCGATGCGCTCCTCCTACTGCGTCTCCAAGTTCGGGGTGGAGGCCTTCAGCGACTGCCTACGGCAGGAGATGTATCGCTGGGGCGTCTCGGTGGTGGCCATCGAGCCGAGCAACTTCATCGCGGCCACAGGGATCCTGACCCCCGAGGGCATCGCGGGAGAGGGCGAGCGCATGTGGCGTGGGGCCAGCGAGGCCGTCCGGGCAGATTACGGAGAGACCGACTTCCAGGAGAAGCTCTCTAGGATGAAGGGCTTTGCGCACAGCGGCCTGCGGGACGTCTCCCCGGTCCTGGACGCCCTGACCGAAGCCCTCGCCGCACGTCACCCCTGCAGCCGCTACACCCCCATGGAGGCCTCCTGGTGGCTGCGTCTGCAGGCTGCAACCCACCTGCCCACCGCCCTGGCCGACTGGCTCTTTGTCAGCTAGGCCGCCCCGGATCAAGTGGAGAAGCCGTCCCTTGCTGCCTCCTCCGGGGGGGGGGGGGAATGCGGTGTGGAGTCACGTCCAGGTGAATTAAAAGCAATCATAGTAGCCAAGTTAGCCAGGTGAGGGGAAAAAATCCCAAATCCTTATAGACAATCTCTCTCTTAATCAGCACAGCTGAAAGGGTCACAAAATAGGTGCAAGTTCCGAGCTTCCCAGAACTCCCCTCTAGTGCAAGATGCATTTTAACAGAATAACAGCAGGGACCTTGGAGGTCTTCTAGTCCACCCCCACTCCCCCACCCCCATCCCACTCAGGCAGGAAAGTTTTAGAAGATGGTGCAAACCCTCATTTGCCTGGTGCGCCCTTGAATCCCCAACAGCCGAGTCTACCCGGCTGGAGCCGTCGTGAGGGGAAGCCGTGGTGGGACCCTGCAGACAACATGCCTGGAAGCAGGAATGAGGGTTTTGTATGTGGTCCAAACTGTATGTAATTTCAACTGATTTTAATTAAATTTTTAGATTTAATTACATTGGCTTAATGTTTGCCCTGCCTGCCTCCTTGCTGGAGCCTCAACCCCGAACTCGGGTTCGGCACCCCCTGAGGAGCCTGGCACTCTGACCCTGGCTAGGCCTGCTGGGGAAAGACGAGATCCAAGAAAGGCCCAAACCTGGTTGAGGATGAAACCCAGCTTCCCTTTCCCTTAATTAATTAACCAATGGAACGGACGTTGCCTTCAGAGGTTGTGGGTGCTCCATCACTGGAGGCTTTTAAGAAGAGACTGGACATCCACCTGTCTGAAATAGTATAGGCTCAATCCTGCTTGAGCAGGGGGCTGGACTAGAAGACCTCCAAGGTCCCTTCCAGCTCTATTCTGATGGATATTGGTTACTCTTTTGTGGCGCAGGCCACGTGGGGATGTTACATGCTTGGAGAGTTAGGGCAGGATAGTGAAGAGGGTTATTTCAGTAGGGTGAAACGTGTTGTGTGAATGCCACCGCATGGCCCAGTCGTGCTCCTGTTTGGCATCGTCCTGCAGGGAGGCAAGCACAGCTCTCCCCACAACCTTCCTCAGCCTGGGGGCGGAGGAGGGCTCTCCATAAAGGCCACCCTGGGTCTGTGTTCCCCCCCTCCCGCCGCCCAGGGTGACCCCGGCTGTGCTGTTGCTAGGAGACCCCGGTCCAGTTGCTGCCAAGGAAGGGCCATAAAGCCCCCAAGGCCAAAGTCTGCTTCCCTCAGGCAGCAATGCCCTCCCCCCCATCTTCCCTAGGGAGGGAGAGGCCCCCGCCTGGCCTGGGGGGGGCTAAAAGCCTTGCTGGGCTTCCCGCCACACTGGCTGAGGGGACCCAGGGCTGCGTCCCTGACGCCATCTGCAGAAGGGATCTGGAAAGGGCCAGCAGCCAGGCCCGGCCTAGGAAGGGAGCCCACAACGGCCGGACTGGAGGTTTTGGGCAGAGGCCGGCCTTCCCTGCTGCTGCCGCCCCCTCCTTCCTGCAGCTGGAGGGAGGGGCTGGCTGGAGACCCTCGCTGACCTGTCTGGGGGCCCCCCCCCCCCCCGGGGGGGGGGGGGGGGGGGGGCAAACTGGCCTGCATTGCAGACCGAGGCCCTCCTTGGCAGGAATGTTTCAGAGAGTGTGCCCCATCTCGCTCTCTGCAGCTGCCACTTTGGCCCAAGACTTTGGTGGGCACTCAGGGCACAGCCCAGCCCGTTTCGGTTCACAGCAGGTTACAGCCCCCCACTCAGGCCTTGATCTATCCCGGCATGGCCTTTGCTGCTTTGTGCCTATCCCTCCCGTGTCCGAAGGGCAAGTGGGTGAATTTCCCTGCCTTTGTTGCCCTCCCTCCTCCCAAAGGCCGTCACTTTCCACAAGGTGGGGGGGCAGAAGATGAGGGCTGACCGAGGGCTGGACAGGTAGGTGCAGCCGTCCGCCAGTCCATCCGTGCATCTCACTTTGGTTTTGTTCCAGACCTTTCTACCTTAAAGGAGCCGATCAACATTCCTGGCTCTCCGTTATGTCTGCCCCTTCTCCATGTTCCCATCACCCATCAGCCTGCTCTGTTCTGGCCTTTGCCCCGATTTGGGGGAGGGGTGGCAGGAGAAGCATGGGAAAGGCTGGGTTAACTTGCAGGCAGGCCAGGAAAAGGCAGTCGGTGGATGATGGGTGCTGTGCAGGGAGAGAGCGAGAAAGACTGCTAAAGGCTCCCAGGGAGGAGACTCCAGTTGCCTGGACCTCAGCCCAGCAGGGTGCATGGGAAACAAAACGGAGTTCAGGCTGACCATTTACTTAAGGTTACTTAACTGGGGTCTCTCTTCCAGCGATCAGGCCGGGCCTAGCAGGCCCTCCTGCAAGTCTTCCCTGCAGCTGGGGGGAGGCCGAGCCAGGTGGAGGGGAGGAAGGGCTGGGCTGGGCTGGGCTGGGGGAGAATGGAGACAGGGGGGCTCTGCTCCCAAAGAAGACCACCACGCTGAGAGAAGGCAAACTCCTGCATTTTTTCACCAGGTGCCCGGCTGTTTTATCCACTTCCTTCTATAGACGAGAAATGATAAATAAGCATAAATAGTTAACCTATTAGTCAAGATGGCAGCGCCTGGATCGGCTGCGGCTGCATTAGCTCTCAAAGGTGAAAAGTTATGGGAGGGATATTAAGGGATATAAGCCACATGATCAGGAAGGTTTTAATGTGTTTGAGCAATGTGGTGGAACTAAGGTAACATACAACATACGACTGACAATCTTTGCTGGCATGTCGAGTTTCTAGCTGTTTCGGAGCTGTTGGTGAGACCGTTGAAAGTCGTTGGTGCTGTTTGAAATTGTTCTGCGGGCAGCAAGATCTGACTGCTGGCCCAGCGACGGATTCTATTGCAAATAAGGGCTGTTTCCAAAGGAGGCAGAGGAGGAGAGGTCCCGGGGCTTATGGAGTGAAGGAACTGGAGGAGGCTGTCGGCAGGCCCAGAGGATGGGAGAGAAGCCTCTTTAAGGAAAAGGTGGAAGAGACAAGATCAGAAAAAGGAAAGGAGGCGAGGTTGTCGTGCAGGAATACAAGCTAATTTGAGGGTTAATCCATATGGAGCTCCATTTCCATCTGTCCTGTTTGCCATCGTTCGTTCGCTCCCTAGAGACTAAAATGGAAGATCTGTAACTTGAGCTGGCCACGAACAAGGAGTGTATATCGGAGGTGGTGACCCTTTGAGAGCTGTATGCAATGAAATTTCATTTTGATGTATGCCGATTGGTGTACTTTCAAAGTGACAATAAAGTTGTTGTTGTTACTGAGATGGACTAGATTTTTTTTTCAAGGGGATTGTAAATTGAAATCCAGAGATTTGATAACAAATGTTCTTGTCTCGATGGTTTTTTTTGTACAATTAGCAGCAAGGTTTAGAGTGGATAAATTGCCACCTCGGGGGCTGCGGTGGGAACACCCTAAAATGGCTGATCCCGAACACCATTTTTGTGAAAAAGGCAAATTCTAGGTTGAGGATTATTTGGAGGGAACACGATGATGATGATGTAGTAGTAGTAGTAGTAGTAGTAGTAGTAGTAGTAGTAGTAGTAGTAGTAGTAGTAGTAATAAGTTGGAAGGGACCTTAAATTGCCAAAGCCAGAATTCAACCTGCAGGTCACCTGCCTGTCTGCTCTCCTGCCCAGTGGGAGAGACTGAGCCAGTGTGGGGAGCTCGTTGGCCCCACAGAGAAAAGGGGTGGCTGCAGGGTGGAAGGGTTTCACCTCTAAAGAAGGCAAGAGCCTCTGGGCGACCTGGAGAGGTGTAGGGGCGACGGGAGCCTCGTCCTTATTCGCAATGCCTTTTCCCCGCCTGGCCTCCTCCTGGGCGCCCCTCTCGCCACCTCACCCCCTCTCTCCTTTGGGGTCCTTCTTCTTTTTAAAAAGCCTCCTCCAGCCAGGGAAGTTCCAGGCCCGGTTCTGGATGACATCACAGAACTTCATCCTGCGGAGCCCAGTGATGTCACACTGCGGAAGGCAGCCTGTTCCGCAGGGCACCTCGGAGCCAACCGTTGCTGCTTTTCCTCGTAAGTTCAGGCCACGTTGCTGCGGGGAAGAGGCTGATGACCTCAGAGAAGGGGCCCTGGGGCTGTTAGGGAAACACACCCAGAAGAAGAAGAAGAAGAAGAAGAAGGGAACCGTGGGCAGACCCTACCAATAAGGTGTCTTTCCGTTATCCTGCGGCGGCCCATTCCCGATCCGGTCTGCCTTGAAGGGCTGACAGCAGGAGAGAGCACGGGGCACGGGGTCAGGTCACCTCGGCTGCCCCCTTCAGGGCTGCAGAAGATAACCCGGGAAGGGGAGGCCGGAGTCGGCTTTGCAGGGAGACCCGCTGGCCTGGGACCTCTTCCTCCCTCCCTGCAGCGACTGGCCTGGGCTTCTCCAAGCAGAGCGGAGAGGATGATCCGGCTGATGGAGAGCAGGGCGACCCTGGCCAGGTGGAGGCAGCTGTGCAGCAAGTCATTGGCCAAGTCCAGGCTCAGGTACTATGGCTCAGCCGCAACGGACCAGCCCAATATTTGGTCACCAGGTGCATTTAGCACACCTGTTGGTCAGAAAGAGGCTACGGGACTCTGACCCCTAGACTGACAGGGCTCTCCTCCCGCAGCCCCTCCCCCGTGTGAGCTTTGCTTGGTACGGGGTACATGAGCCAGATCGTGGGAAGAGAGTCGCTGGTGGAAGCCCCTTCCATCTACCCGGGAGGGAAGACAGAGTCAGGCTTACAGAAGCAGCCACAGCTCAATAATTTCTGCCCTGAAATTTGTTCCAAGGCTACACACACACACTGTAAAACACACAGGAGCCCAGGTTCACACAACATCTGTGCCTGCCTTATTTGGGGCTCCATGTGAATAAAACCAAAGAAGATGGGAGTCTAAATGAATCTCCACAAAGATGCCCGTGAAAAAGCCTGTGGGGAGCCATGGAGGAAGAAAGGGGCGTCTGGCGTCCTGGCCAAAGACGGGGCGAAGAGCCCCAGGAGGGCTGGGGAAGTCTGAATCTCCGGGGGAGCCACACTCCAGGCGCTGCTCCAGATCGAAATCCTAAGCTCTCGGCAGTTCAAGGGGTTGGCAGAGGCCCATTCCTGCCTTCCAATCGGATGGCATCTCCTTCCGCAGGCTGCTGTCTCCTTCCTATTTTGTGACCGACCAGAAAGTAAGATATTCTACACACATGAAGAAGGTAAGGAAGAGTGGCCAACAAGATGGCTGCATTCTCCTCTAGAAGCGGCTTTGACCATCTAGACCGGGATGGGGAAACCCCTGGGGCTCCTGGTGCAGGGGCACCATGGAGACCCCGCCTGAAGAGAGACTGGAGCGGCTGGCAAATGCTGCAGGGTGGCATCTCCCAGAGGGGGAGGGGGCTTGCTCTGTGCTCCCCACCAACTCGGGGTTCTGACCTCTGTGTGTGTGTGTGTGTGTGTGTGAATGGCAGAGAAGGCAGGGCCAGGCTAAATAGTATTTTCCGCCAGGAATCAACATCGTTTGTGGAAAACCTATTCAACGGACACTTGGAGCCGAAAAACCTCCTTCCTTTCCCCTCAGGTAAGGGGGTCCGGGCAGAGAGAAGGGATTCGAGGGTGCTGCGAGGCAGGACGGCTGACCAGCCCCCGGGTGTTCGGGGCTGGCAGTGAGCCTCCTGTCCTGGCAGCCTCTCCGTTGCCCTCAGCTCTCTCGCTGGAGCAGGCCCAGGTCTTGCAAGCCATGGTGGATCCCTGCGCCCGATTCTTTGAGGTAAGGCCAGCGGAGGTTTTCCTCCTCCCGAGCCCCCCCCCCAGAGAAAGTCCCGCCTGGAGGGCTGTGCTGGCTCCGTTTCTGTCTGAAACACCTGCAGGAAGTCAACGATGCGGCTGCGAATGAAGCGCTGGGCAGCATCGAAGAGGACACCGTGGCAGGCCTCAAGTCGATGGGCTGCTTTGGGCTGCAGGTGCCCGAGGATCTGGGGGGCATCGGGCTGACCAACACCCAGGTGAGGCCCTTGGGAGACTCCTGGAGGGAAGCAGGAAGTCCTCCTGGTCTGTCCTCTCCCAGCCATGGGGCCGGAGCCACCGCTGAGGGTTGGGAGCACCCCCACCCGTCTGCAATGCAGAAGAGGCAAGCTCTCCCTCCCCCCCCGTTGCTCCCTGGGCCGGCATCCAAGGGAGGAGGGCGGAAAGGCTGGCCAGGGCCCCCCTCCTCATTGCTGCTGGGCGGGGCGGGGGCGGCGGCAGAGGGACTAAGAGGGAAGATTCTTTGCAGCTCAGGGCTGTCCTGGGGGGGGGGTCCCGGGCGCTCTCTGGGCCTGGCTGTTTCCTTGCAGACGTTTCACAACCCAACCACGGAACTAGCACTAGAAGGGGGGTGGGTGGGCTTGGCCCTCTGTTTATCAACAGAACAGGTGGCCCATGGCTTACGAACACAATTCAGCCCACAATTTCTGTAGCCAAGCAAGATAGTTGTTATGTGAATTTTGCCCCATTTTACAACCTTTCTTGCCACAAATCTATTGCCACAAAGCTATTCTCCAAAGCACAGGAGAAGGCAGGACGAGAAGCAACGGGTGGAAACTCATCAAGGAGAGAAGCAACCTGGAACTAAGGAGAAACTTCCTGACAGTTAGAACAATTATCCAGTGGAACAACCTGCCTCCAGAAGCGGTGAATGCTCCAACACTGGAAGTTTTTAAGAAGAGACTGGACAGCCATTTGTCCGAAATGGTATAGGGTTTCCTGCCTGGGCAGGGGGTTGGACTAGATGACCTCCAAGGTCCCTTCCAACTTCTTGTTGTCGTTATTATTATTATTATATAAGTAAATAATTGTAGCTGTTAAGCTAATCACACAGTTGTTAAATGAATCTGATTTCCCATTGACTTTCCTGGTCAGAAGGCCGCAAAAGGGGGTCACGACCCCCTGGGACACTGTGACCATCATCATAAATACAGGCCAAGAGCCCAAATTCTAATCATTCGTCCACGGGGACGCTGCAACAGTCATAAGAGTGAAAAACGCTCATAACAGTCACTTTTTTCATTGCTGTTGTAACTCCGAATGGTTGTAAGCCAAGGGCTGCCTGTAGGCTTGTCAGGCCAGTGTCGGTAGCGTCTTGACTTGGGTGCTGCTTGCTGCTTGATTGCCTGCCTGCTGCTGCTCCCTGCTCAACAGCCCAGACAAAGAATCAAGCAAGGAACGGCCTAACCCAGGAACAAGCCAGGAGAAAACTGCATTCCCACCAGCGCTGGCTGGGCGGCCGCTGGGTGCAAACAGAGCGCCAAGGCCTCTCCGTCTGCCCACCGAGGATGTTCCCTGGTCAGAGACAGCCAAGCTCAGAGAGCCCCACGGTCAAGGACGAGGGGGGTGGGGGTGGCTGAGCCGCCTGCAGCCCCCTGACACTGTCTTTCCTCCTCCTCCTCCTCCGTGGCAGTACGCTCGCATGGTGGAAGTGGTTGGGATGCATGATCTCGGCGTAGGCATCACCCTTGGTGCCCACCAGTCTATTGGCTTCAAGGGCATCCTTCTCTTTGGAAACAAGAGCCAAAAGGAAAAATACCTCCCCAGGCTGGCATCTGGTAGGCTGAGCACCCACACACACACAAAAAACACATTGGCTGGGTGAGGGGCCTCCCATACCGAAGGAACCAGGTGGAGGGACAGCTGTAGCTGGCATGAGCTGATCCAGGGAGGGGCGGGAGTGAGCCCAGATCTCAACACACAATGTGCTTGTATGTGTGAATATCTGCTAGGTCTGGACTCTTGCCCCCCCCCCAAAAAAACATGGATGGAAGCAAGAATTAGCCTCTTGGTACCATTTCTGAAGGCCAGAGAGCTCCAGGTGGAAGGAGGGCGGGGAGGGGTCCTTGGAGGGTATAGGGAGAGATGGCCCTTGGCAAGGCTGCCCCATCTCCCAGGAAGAACGGGCTCCCCTCTCTCTCGTCCCAGGCGAGGTGTGTGCGGCCTTCTGCCTGACCGAACCGTCGAGCGGCTCAGATGCAGCCTCCATCCAGACGGTGGCTGAGCTCAGCCCCTGCGGGGGCTTCTACACTCTCAATGGGAGCAAGATCTGGATTAGGTGAGGAGGAGGGAGGGAGGGGGGCGCTGAGTTGGGCACGGGGCTCTGTCGCATGGGTGGCTACCAGGCTGGTCGCTGGGCTCCATGGCTTGTGGCCAGCCGCTAGCCTGCTCTGCCTCACCTCCCTTCCAGCAATGGGGGCACGGCCGAGATTTTCACAGTGTTTGCCAAGACTCGCATGAAAAATGTCACCACGGGGGAGGAAAGGGACAAGATCTCGGCCTTCATTGTGGAGCGAGCCTTTGGGGGGGTGAGCAGGTGAGTCGAGGGGGCCCTGTGAGAGCTGGGGAAGGTGCTGCAATGCCACCAGCGGTCAGCCCTGGGCCCTCCTTCCCCTCCCTCAATCCATTCTGAGGCTCATCACCGTCCCCTCAGGTGTGGGAGGAGGCTGCTGCCCCTGCAAGCCCCCCTACCCATCCAAGGGAGGGAGGGAGGGTCTCCCAGCCGAGCTGGCTCTGATCTGCCCTGGTGCCTCTGTGCCTGTGTGCCCTGCAGCGGCCCTCCGGAGCAGAAGATGGGCATCAAGTGCTCCAACACGGCTGAGGTGCACTTTGAGGAGGTGAAGGTGCCCGTGGAGAACCTCCTGGGGGGGCTCGGCAAAGGCTTCCAGGTGGCCATGCACATCCTCAACAACGGCCGCTTCGGCATGGCTTCAGCACTGGCCGGCACCATGCGCGGAGTCCTCCTCAAGGCGGTATGCTGGCAAGGAGGCCGCCACGCCTGCGGTAGGGGCCCCCTCCCCTGGGCCAAGCGCCCCCCCCCCGAGGTTCCTTACTCCGGCTCTGTGCAGGTGAACCACGCGGCAGACCGGCAGCAGTTTGGAAAACCCATCAGCCGCTTTGGGGTCATTCAGGAGAAACTCGCACACATGGCCATGTTGCTCTATGTGACTGAAGTGAGTGCAGCTGGCCAGCCCCCCCCTCGGGTCCCCCCCCTCGGTCCTGGGCACCCCCCGGACTTTTGGCCATTATAAAATCGCCTGCAAGATGGGCTTCAGGTGACTGCCAAGGACTCCCCACTTCAGGGTGGGCAGAGCCTCGGGGGGGCAGGGCCCAGGTGTGAGGCTGCCCAACAGTGCCCTGCCCCTTGCAGGCCATGGCCTACGTGCTGAGTGCCAACATGGACATGAAGGTGCCCGACTACAAGCTGGAGGCGGCCATCAGCAAGATCTTTGCCTCCGTAAGTGGGTCTGGGGGGGGCAGCCCTGCTTTCCAGGAGGGTGAGCAGCGGCTGTGGAGACTTGCCCTGGTCCCCGGTGGGTGGAGGGCAGGGGGGGGCTAGGCGGCTGGCCATTGGCACCCTGCAGTTCAAGTGGAGCACCCTCTGGGCCGAGAGACTCCAGCTGGCTCTGGGCAGATCTCCGTGCCCGGCCTGCTGACCGGCTGCAGCCCCAGGGCCTCTTGGAGCCAGAGCTGCTGACCCTGCTTGGCCATGGGGTGGGGGTGGGGGCTGGGCCAGTCAGCCTTGCTGTTCGTGTCCCCAGGAGGCAGCCTGGACTGTGACCGACGAAGGCATCCAGATCCTGGGTGGGATGGGGTACATGAAGGTAAGTCCCACTGGGCCGGGTGGGGTCTCCTGGGTCAGGAAATGGACCGACTCCTCCCAGGCCGGGTCGGGGCCCAGCAAGACCCCCTGCAGGCTGCTGGTTTCCCCGGGCAGGAGGCCGGCGTGGAGAAAGTCATGCGTGACCTGAGGATCTTTCGCATTTTTGAGGGCACCAACGACATTCTCCGCTTGTTCGTGGCTCTGTCAGGCATGGAGGCAAGTCAGGCCCTCTCTGGGGCCAGTGGGGTCCTCTGGGGCAGCCCGTCCAGGACAAGCAGTGCCCGAAGCGTTGGGATCCCCTCCCCCCTGTGAGAAGCCACGTCTTGGGGGGGCTCTCGGGGGAGGCTGTAATGGAGAGAGCCCCCTCCAGAGTCAGCCTGGCTCTTTGCCCTCCCCAAGGCTGAGCATGAAAAAGCCTTTCCGGTCCTTTGCTGCTCCAGCTTGCACAGCCACCCTCTTGCCCCCCCCGGCACTCAAGCAGCGGCCTCCCCCTTAAAGCCCTGGCAGAGCGCCCCCCCCCTGCCTGGGTGCCCGGCAGAAGCACGCTCTTGTCAGGGCTACAGCATCCCTCTCCCTGGAGCTCAGCCGTCCCGCCCCAGCGCCCTGAAGTGTGTGTGTGGGAGGGGGAGTTCCAGCCGCTTGGGGAGGCTGCCCCAGGACAGACCCTGCTCTCTGCCCTCAGTATGCTGGGCAGACCCTGAGCGGCCTGCGCAAGGACCTCTCCAACCCCCTGGAGCACATGGGATCCATCTACAAGGAGGTGGTGATACGAGCGAAACGGTGAGGTTCCCTCCCTGGGGGGATCTGGGGCTGAGGGGGCTCTCTGATTCCGCAATAGCTGCACTCAAGACCCCCCCCCTCCGTGGCCCTCCCAGGGCTTCCAAGGTCCTGCTGCTCTGATTCCCCCCCCCCCAGTGCCACATTCCTATTCAGCAGATCCCCGCTTTCTCTCCTGCAGCAAAGTTGGGGTCCCCACTGGGCAGACACTGCAGGGTCTCGTCCACCCAGAACTGGAAGACTGCGCTGCTCTGGTGAGAGAGCCGGGGGAGACCCAGCAGGGCGGGCAGCTTCCTCTGGGCATACCAGCCCAGGAGCCTTCCCTGCTCCAGGCGCCCGAGCTCCCCTGTCCGAAGGGGAGCCTCCCGTGCAGCAGGGCGGCCTTTCGAGTTGCCAGGGGCCTCGTCCAAGGGCCCTTCTGGACGGAGCTCTCCTCAAACCCTTTCCCCACTGGACCCCCTCCCAGGGCTAGAAGACGGCCTGGGGGGCTTCCAAGAGCGGCTGCCCTCCTCCTCCAGGGCTGGCTCCTGGGTTTCCCCAGGAAAGCAGCCAAGACGGCTTTCCTACACGCCTCCTCTTCCTCTGGGGGGTGGGAGCAGGCGATGCCCACGCCCCTTCCCCACAGACGCCCCACGCTGGTGCCTCAGGCTCAGCCGCTGGAGCAAGAAGCAGTGCTGAGTGTCAAGCAAGAACATCCGACGTTAAAACCACGACACTGAGCAAGAAATGAGGGGGGTGGGGAACACCTGGAGGAGAGGGCCCTTGCCGTGGGGACCATGGGGCCACATTCAGCTGAGCCCCCCCTCCCATTTCTCTCTCCCCCCCCCCCGCAAGGTGACCAGAGCCGTGGAGCTGTTTGGAGAGACCATCGAGAGTCTGCTCCTGAAGTACGGTGCAGCAGTGACAGGTACAGGCCCTGAGGGGAGCGCCCATCGTCCCCACTCCCTCCTGGGCCCCCGAGGCCTCCAAGGGAGCTCGGGATGGTGCAGCTCCCCCTGCTGGACTCTCCCAGAAGCAAGCCCGATTCTCTCGGGGGGTGGGGGGTGGAAGGTGGAATTCACAGCCCCAGACCAGCCAAAGAGAAAAGATGTTTCCACTGTGGAAATGTGTGTGTGGGTGTGTGGAATGTAGGACCCACAGCAACATCAGGGGTTGCTGCAAAGGAAGCTGGAAGTGGCCCGGAGGGAGGGGCTGGGTGAGAGCTGCCCAGGGGCCTGACTTGCCCTTCCCGGATTCTCCCCAGACAAGCAGTTCCACCTGAGGCGCGTGGCAGATGCTGCCATAGACACCTATGCCATGGCCGTGGCTGTATCCAGGTAGGAGGAAGGAGGTGGGACGGGACGGGATGGGATGGGAAGCAGGTGCCTGTGAAACAAGCCTCATCCATTTCTCCTCCCAGGGCCAGCCGGGCCCTCTCCCTGGGCCAGCCCACCGCTCAGCACGAGAAGCTTTTGTGCCAGACGTGGTGCCAGCAGGTAACACAGACAGGTGCAGCTCCCAGGCTCTGATTGCTCTTGGGCAGCGCTGCTTGCCTGGTGGGTTCCTAGCTGGGGGGGCCCTGCTTTGATCCCCTACCTTCTGCCCCTTCCCCCTTGCAGCCTGCTGGCCGTCTCCTCCCAAGCTATGGGGCACGGGGCAAGGTGTAGCATGACAGCCCCTGCTTCCCTCCTACCAATGGAAATTGGGGGGGGGGGTTAGGCTTCAGCAAAACACCTGGCAGTAGCCACAGCTTCCTGTAAGCTGTCTGGCTCTGACCTCAGTTGAGGGCCTTCTTAGAGCCCAGACAGATCAGTGCAGAAGCCACACCAGGGACCCTTGCCTTGTGCTAGGCTTGAAGGAGCAGCCCCTCCCCACGGATCACAACTTCTCTGGCTGGCCTGAAGGTGGGCTGTGCCAGCTGATACCCAGACCTCCTCCCCCTTGATGCAGCACCACTGAGAAGAGGGTCTTCAGAAGAAGGAGTCGGGGTGACAGTGTTCCAATATTTGAGGGGCTGCCAAAAAGAAGAAGGGAGGGGGGGTTCAAGCTATTCTCCAAAGCACCTGAAGGCAGGACAAGAAGCAACAGATGGAAAATGATCAAGGAGAGGAGCAACCTAGAACTAAGGAGGAATTTCCTGACAGCAAGAACAATTCATTAGTGGAATAACTTCCCTCCAGAAGTTGTGCGTTCTCCAACACTGGAGGTTCTTAAGAGGAATTTGGACAGCCACGTGTCTGCGATGGCATAAGGGGGTCGGACTAGGTCCCTTCCAACTCTGTTATCCACGGGGATAATAGCATGGCTTGCACCCTGTTGTCAGAAGGGAACATGGTGAGAACGGTGATGAGGTCCTGCAAAAACACTGCATGACCTGTCTTCCATTGGGGGGGGGGGTTTCTCCCCTGCGTGGCTGGACTGATCCGGGCTTCTCTCTCTCTCTCTGCATAGGCCTTCCAGCGAGTGGGGGCATCTCTGCAGGAAGCCAAATCTGCCAGCTGGGAAGAAGTCTTCAGCAGCATGAAGCTGATCTCAGACGCCTTGGTGCAGCACAGGAGCACCATGGCTTCCCATCCCCTGGGCTTTTAAAACCGGGATTTTGTTTAGCATGGAACCAAATAAATGCTTATATGATCCTTCTACTAAAGCTGTCTTCACGTGATTTGCTGGTGTCTCTGCGCTCTTGTGGTTGTGTGTGGGCAGCTCTTCACATCTGGAGAACTGACTGGCGTTCAAGATGAACGAAGCCAGTTCCCTTGCTCAACCCCCCATATCACTGACAGCCAGCCACCTCACCCAGCCGTCTCATGTGACCCCCAAACAGGGTCACCTCTCCCCCATGCAATCTTTGCACCACGTGACCTGTCAATCTCAGGGCCAACCGACCATGTAACCACACAGGACCATTTAAAAGCAGAGAAGAACTGAAACAAGATGCTTTAACTGAAGTTCCGCTGCTGATGTAACCTAGCCTCATGACAAAAAGTTCAGAAGCCAAACGGCCAGCTTGGAGAACAAAACCACCACCAAAATCAGTCCCTAATCTGGTTCATCGGGTCTTCCAATAGCGCACCCATCACCAGCGCAGGAGTCCACCCGCCGTGTGGCGGGCTGTCCTCTTCTCTCTCCTTCCAATCTTCCCAGCTGGGCCTTTGCATAAATGTTTCCAAAACAGGATAAGTGGAGCCTGGCCATTTGTGCCTCAAGTAAAAACTCCGGGTTTTTTCCTTCAATTACTCATTGTGTATTTTCTTGGCTCTCCACAAGAGTCTTCTCCAAGACCCAGGAGCATCCCCGCCCTAGCTAGCCTCCTCCTTCTTCCAACTCCGCTTCCAGAGAATGTCTGACCAGGCATGGCCGTCCCCCCTCGCAAAGCCAGGAGGGGCTCCAGCATCGCTTGGCCTGTGGCAAGCCCCATGGTGCCTCTTCTCCCGCCTACCACCCACCTACCCCCACCTGGCCTCCCTCTGGCTCTAGCAACCGCTTGGGACCAGGAGCCCACTCGGGACCCCACGCTGTTCTGACAACGTGGATAAAATATCAAGGGCTACATTGGGATAAGTATTTTTTTAAATATGTATACTGCATACATTCCCACTTTAGCCACGAAAGTCAGCTGGGTGACTTTGGGCCAGTCACCCTCACAGGGTTGTTGTGAGGAAAAGAGGAGGAAGGAGGTTGTTATGTTTGTCGCCTTGAGTTCTTTGTAAAAATAATAAAAGTGTGATACAAATAAATACATTTTCTCAGTTAGGGGTAAGTGGTGAGTCTTTCTTTGCCAGAGCTCTTCAGACAGAAGGTCACCTACGTTGAGATGATCCCTGTGGTCTCTTCCAACACTCTAATTCCAGGAATTAACTGGGTGTACTGGAATTGGAGTGGAAGAGTACTGGTTCCTCCAGTTTAACAGCCCCCAGCAATTCCCCAGAACAAGAAGAGGCTGGCAGCCACGCTGAAAGAGGCCGAGTGAGGCAGGGGCCCTTGACTGCCCGCAGGTCGAATTCAGTCCAGTCCAGCTGGCTTAGTTGGGTTCAGCGCACATTACAGGTTTTGGTATGCTGGACTTCTCATCTCGTGCAGGTCTCTTGTGTACCGAAGCTCTTCAGCGGGGGGGGGGGGGAGAAGCCTGTCTAGTCAGAGCCTTTGAAGGAGGGGGGCTGTTGGGATTTATAGCATTTACAGCAAATGGTCAAGCAATTTTGCTTTACATTACTTGTATAACCTATAGGAATGGATTATTGTTAAGAACCTGACCAAGTATATGAAACTATTATAACTGCATTGAATGTGTGTATTTACATATCATATGCTGTGCTTGAACATCTTAGTATAAGAAATATGTTTACACTTGCTGTTA